GCACTTCGCCATAAAAACGCGTCTGAGCGCAGGGGCGGAGTCAGCGAAGAGCATGCGCAATCGCAGGTCAACGAGTGATTGAGCTCTTGAAAGAGCAAAATTTATACCGATAGTATATCAGAAAAGGACCGTTTTGAGGGGTGATCACCCCTCAAAACGGTCCTTTTCTGATATACTATCGGTATAAATTTTGCTCTTTCAAGAGCTCAATCACTCGTTGACCTGCGATTGCGCATGCTCTTCGCTGACTCCGCCCCTGCGCTCAGACGCGTTTTTATGGCGAAGTGCGACGACGCCGAAAACTGCAAATGCAAATTCCCCTCCGGCCGGGAGTTTAATATATGTGGTAAATATGTTGAACTCCTTGCGATCCGGAAGATTCAGTCATCAAAATTTTCGACCTGCAGTTTGCTCTCCGTAATACTAATACTAGAGTCCGTAATACTAGAATCACACCTCAGAATCCCCTACCAGAATCGCCTCATACCTCTTTGTCAGGATTCATTGTGAGTTACCACGTAAAATTACATTATCAACTCATTCAGCATCTAGAATTGCTGTACGCATCGTTACAATCGGATCCTGTTGATATGAACTCATAATCAGTCCGTAAAACCACGTTGGTAACATAAACAGCTCATGGTGTGTGCTCCGTGATTTTCTGATAAACCCACCCTTCGACAACAGCTCTTGTTGCTTGCCCTAACCACATTTCCTATTCACCTACGAGTGCGTATGAATGGAACCGCCGTTTTGATTTGACCACCGAATGAAACACCAATTTCACAAAATTATCTGTGTTCTAAATCCAGTGCGTAATCCCTCACAATATTTAGTCTTCTTGTCTGTGTTCCGAACGGTCTCAGTTAGACTTTCTCGAATCTAGCTCGATTGTAGGTTTCAAATCGCCGAATTTCTTCTCCAGCCATTATTTCTCCAATGCGATCCAATAAGCGCAACTCGTCCGTAGTAGTCGAAATCATACGACCAAGTTTTTGAAAAATGTTCAAAGTAGTTCACAATGTGAATAATCGTTATTTTCACGGGGCTGAAATTGAGGTTCATCTGAATTTCAGTTAAGGCATACTCCGGACTTAGGTCAAGGTCTCCTCGGACTCGGGCTGAGGCTCACATCAAACTCGGGTTTACGCTTTTCCCGAGATCACTGGCGAAAGTAAATTTGAATATTTTATCGAAGGTTTCAGATTTAATTTACGAGTCGCACTGATCCGAAATGATGGGCAACGGCGGCGAGTGGGTGGAAACTGTTAGAACACGGCAAATAGGTCGGTTATTTTTCCAACGGAATTTATTATTATTCTTCACCTGAATGTTCAATTAATGATATTGTTTCATAAATCAAAAGACAGGATAGAATCCTGAAGTTCATCATGAAATTATGCATTCATCCAATCGACCCTGTATTCAATCTCAACGTTTATCAACTTCATTTATCAGTCTCTAATTTTGAAAGATGCTTTCAGCAGCCTTGAAGCAAGTAATAAATTTGAATCAACCAGTTCCAACTTCAATGGCAGTTGAGCCAGTTTGGAAGATATTAATTTTGGATCGTTACGCGAGAGATATTATATCGCCACTGATCACGGTTAAGCAGTTGAGAGACCTCGGCGTCACTTTGCATTTGTGCGATTTGCTTTATTTTTCATTCATTTTGTCTCATTACTTAATATTTTTTAATTTTTTTGTCGATGCCGAAGAAATGTTTTGTTCCTCTTTTGACCCATCCGATATTTTAATTCTGATACGATTTTCGATCTATATTCTTAAAGTCATTTTCAAAAGAAGGCTGTGAATGAGAAAAAATATTGCGGAGGTGGTAGAAAGCGATTAGTTTTTCGATATGAAATATTTTAATCGACAAATTTGAGGTTATTGGATACGAATCGAGAATCGTTGCCTGATGTGCCAGCCGTTTATTTGGTGTCACCGAATGACGAGAATATCAAATACATTTCTGATGACCTGTCAAAGGTTGCTTACTTCTCAGCGTCTTCAAGAATGCCGAATTAATTCATTCAAAATAAAGCGAATATTTTTTTCTCCTTCAAATTTAAAATAATTTTCTGTGACCAAAACTATGTACTCTCTTCGTCATTGCATTTTCAGTCATACTTTTGCAATCCGACTTTTTCACCTCGTTTAATCATTTTTTGATCTGTTTCGATTATTGTTCAATTCAGCTCGTTTACTTTAATCAGTTCAGAGGTCATTCTGATGTTTTCATCGTGAGAAGAGTTATTCTTCATATAGACAGCTTTTGAATGAAATTGAACTGTTATTTTTGAATTAACGAGTATATAAGTATTGATGGGAGATGATGAAAGTGAATGAATTAATTGGAGGTAATGTATGACAGTTTCTATATAAATATGATCAGCCCACTGAGTCGACCTCGACTGGAACAATTGGCATCTGCAGCTGTACATGGCTCATCGATTCAGCGTGTTCAAAAGGTTGCTCGTTGGCTCAAGCATATTAATACTTGAAATTTTGATATTAACATTCATTTATCTTTTTGTCAAGACAGTAGAAAAAATTAACTCATAAACTTTGTTTTTCAAATTGCAGCTGACGGATCAATTCTTAAACTTTATCTCGTTAGAAGATGATCTCTTCGTGCTGCGAAGATACAATAGTGATAGTCCGCTTTCATTTTATGGTTAGTTTCTTCAGTCATTTTTTTCTTGAAGAAGTTCATTTACATTCGGTAGTTGGTGGTTTTCATGAAATATCTATTGTTTTCTTCCACTGATTCATGTACAATTATTTATTTTGTTATCACTGATTGGTGTGCGAATAACATAGATATAGTGGCGGTGGCGATTATGATAAAATGAAAGAGTTATAATGCTTATAGTAATATTGGTAGTAATAGTAGTATGTTTGATAGTGTCGGTGTTGGTACTGTGAATGATTGCAGCAATAAGCGACCCGTCGATGACAAATCAGCAAATGGATATGTTGATTGATACGATAGTTGATGGTCTGTTCTCGGTATGTGCCACTTTGGGTATTGTACCTGTAATATGTTGCCCGAAAAACAACGCTGCCGAACAAGTTGCCATGGTAGATTATTGAAAATATTTTTATTCAGTATTGTTCTTTGTTATTATTTAATACAATTCTGTATTAACGTTTGCGATAGAAATTTCATATCTCGCTTCATATTCGTTGTGATGGATTGCTGAATCTGATTGAAGTAGCCATTTTGATTTGATAGTTTTTTTTTTCAATCGCGATTCCACCCTATCGTTTTCCTTGCTGCACTTTATTCATTTCTGAATTCTCATGCGTACTGTATTGTTCGATATTTTTCAGAATTTTATTTACCTGCTCATCTTGATCGTTTATCGATTACTCATAAGAAACGTAATGACCAATGTTCACATAAACTATATCAATTCTTTTTCTGAGCGAATCATTTGAAATTAACATTAATTTTAAATTTCAGCGTCTCGACCAGAAGTTACGAGACAATTTTCGTGATGCTCGTAATAATTTGTTCACTCAAGAAAATGTCCGTGCAGGTCAACTGCATATGCACAGACCAGTGTTAGTGATTGCTGATCGAGGCATTGATCTAGCAACAATGTTGCATCATACTTGGACATATCAAGCGCTGATTCATGATCTTCTTGTTAGTTCTTTTCTTTGGTGCCGATAAGATTGAATATTTTTGTTGATATACGTTTGGTGCGTTCATGGAATTGTTGGTGTTGAGTGAACATACATGCTCTTTTCGGTAGCAGCGTCCCTATTTCTCAATAATCTTTTACCTCAAAATCCTTCAGTTGCATTCGCCTACCAAATTTTGTTCTCATTCTCACATGAATGATGCCGATTAACAAATGAAAATTTGAAACAGCAAAGTAGAATGCGATTCGTGAATAGTTTTGATTTGGTCTCTTTAGTGCGATTTGATAAGTTCATTGTTTGAATACTGATGGTTTTGTTGTTGTTAGATGCAGAGATTATGTGCAAAATGGTAATAATTGGGTATCGATACTTCTATTTGTGTTTATAATGATAGTTTAAACGAGTAAAATAAAGACGAAGCTTATTGAAGGAATTGGATTTGAATCGAGTGATGATGAAGGATAAATCTGGTCGAATGAAGGAATATGATATGACGTCGAATGATAAACTGTGGTGTGATTACAAAGGAAGTGCTTTCCCTCTTGTCGCTGAGGCTATACAGCGCGATGTTGAAGAATACAAAAGTAGAGAGGATGAAATTAAACGCCTAAAACAAGCGATGGTATTTATTGTTCATCGTTATCATTATTCGTTATCGTTACTGCTGTTATTGTTATAGCTGATAGTACCATTATTATTCGTCATGATGTCTCTAATTGAAAAGAATTAAGGGTATGGAAGGCATAGAATCAGATGAAACAATGAGTCTCTTAACTGATACAACCGCGAAGTTATCCTCAACAGTCGTGTCACTTCCTGAATTATTGGAAAGAAAGCGACTGATCGATATGCACACTAGTGTGGCCACTACTGTTCTTGATCATATCAAACAACGGTTATTGTTGTTACTGTTATTACGAGTGCTTAATTCGATCGTATTGGTAATACTTACATTGAGTTATTGTCATGTCGTCGGCATGTTTTCTGCTGATGGTAGTTATTGAGAGACGCTTCATGAAAATTGTTAAACGGCATTGATACTTCAGGAAATTGGACGTTTTATTTGAAGCAGAAGAAAAGATTCTGAATGACCAACTGATAGATAGAAAGCTTATTGAATTGATGCACGACTGTGCGAATGCTGAAGATGCACTGCGAATTATGTTAATTAATTATTTATGTACAGCGAATATCGCTGAGGTTTGTTCAGTTCTCATTATTTCATTCTGATATGATCTTTTTTTTTTGAGATATTCATTGTGCGACTCAAAATTAATTACTTAATTACTGGAACCGAAACGGAATCTGACTATTAATACTCATCTTCGGCACTCAGAAGAATTGCTGGATCAAATAATTCACTTGTTTGTTTTGTGTACTTGTTCAAATGTGATAAGAGGAAGGATAAAAATCGTGAAATATTCTAATGACTTAATTGAAACAATATAATTTTCAAGTCGGAATTACAAGAGCAGATAGCATATTTGAAAGAAGCGGGTATCGACGAATCCTCTATCAAATTTGTGCGGCAATTGAGGTAGGTTCTTGTTTCCATATTCCTTTGTTTCATTTTGATTCAATTTAACAGATTTTTTTGTTTGATAATTCTCTTNGAGAGTATCTTCTTTTTTGTTTTTTTTTTTCATTTCAACCGTTACCATTCAAAGATTTCCATAGCAAGAACAAAAGAAGTTCAATATGAATTCAGTACGGATTTTATTTCGATTGCATGCAATGTATTTGCCTTTATTCCGCATTTGTGTTTTGTCAGTTTGATCGCAGATGCCCTTCTCATTGCAGCCGCATCTTTTTGAGGTTAAATTCTTGTGACTTCGGTTGGTTGAATTGTGAGATTAAACTCAATGAAAGGAAATGAATTGACTGATTCAGATCAATATCGAATATGAATCGAGTGACGAGTGAACACAGTGGTGGAGGCACTAAAACAGATAGCATGTTCACGAACCTTCTGAATCGAGGGTCGTATCTTTTTATGGAAGGAGTCAAAAATCTCGTTCCTAAAAAGCATAATCTCCCTCTCACTAAGGTTTTCCTCAACTTCACTTTTTATCCTATTTACGTTTGTGATAAATTATCTGTTTTCTGTTCTTTCAGTGCGCTTTCTGTGTCTAATATTTCATATGATAATTGCAACAATCCATTTAAAACATTTCTATGAGTAATATTAAGAGTCGAAATATTAATTGTGATAATTATTCAGATGGTTGATTCGGTGATATCTGGCACATCGTCTTCATCAACCCGTCCCGTCGATGATCAGTTTCGATATTTTGACCCGAAATTAATGCATTCAGGCCGGGAGTGAGTCCCTAATCCCGTTTTGTTTAGTTATTACTTGATTCTGGTTACTGTCTTAGTAGTAATACCTGATGATAAATAGTAGAAGAATGGAATGTGTTGAATGACCGAATTACAGCAATCAACGAACGAAACGTATCGTATCAGCACAAGATGTTATTGTTTTTGTTATTGGTGGCGGGAATTATGTGGAATATCAGAATATAAATGACTACGGAAAATCGAAAGGTTTATCGCGGATAACCTACGGCTGTACGGAACTGGTTAATCCTAAGCAATTTACTGATCAGGTATGGTTATCAGTGTTATTATTATCGCATCATTTTTTTAAATGTCATATATCGTCGTATTCTAATATTGCTCGGCTCATGTAGTAGAAATTAATGTTTTATATGTGAATATAGTTGAATAGTTAATATATGATTCGAGTCGATGATGATTTCTCATGATCTCTCTTTATAAAGAGTGTTTTACTCT